GGGAAAACACCGTCCGGCAGCCGGACCAAGGGCCCAAAATTCAGGAAGACAAACACCCTCGCGAGAGTTCTGACTGCCCAATAAGCCGCGAGAACCCTCGGAGGCGCTGTCTGCCAGTCACTGGATAGAAGCGGTGTTGGGCGTACCCAATTGGTTAAGCACGGGAAAGCTCGCGCCCCATTGGCCCCAGCTCCACCCCTTCGTCACGAATCCCCGCCCCCTTAAGGGGCTCCACCTCTCAGCCGAGAAGGTGGGGAGTAGGGGAGGGAAGGCCTATTTTACTCTCAGTTCCGTGCGCCGGAGATCAGGTTTCCGGAGTAGAACCCTAACTCTTCTCCTGTGGCATTTTAGTACCATTTAACGCTCAGATTGTAACATGTTCTGTCTCATTCCTAATCTCAGCCTTCTATCCTGTGTTCTCAAACTGACCCAGTCCTAGGCAGGGAGATGATTTTTACCTGTGCTTGGGAGAAAGCAGGCTACCATGGACCTTAACAAGTTAAAGATATTTCTCTAAGAGCTTTTTCATCTCAACATCTACGTATTGCGCTGCATAATATGCAATGAGAATTGCTTTATTTCATTAAAACAGTCACTAGCCCCCTTGCGCATTAACTCATGAAATCATCTAAATAATCGTTAATGAAGTAGGTATGTTAAAATATTTTTCAAGTGAAGAAACGAGAAACAGGGAAATTTAGTGACCTGAAATGTATTCTGTCTTTTTGTCCCTTTCTTCCTTACTTTAATTCGGGACTTCTTAACTGCTGGATTACTTCTACAAACAGCCGCTTAACTCCTCTCCTTGCCATTCTCTACAAAGCCATGGATTAATCTTCCTAATACAAATCTGATCATTCTTAAATCCTCAGATCTCTGAAGTGGCAAATCCTTCTGTGGCTCCAAATTGCCACTCTGGCAGAGAGTGCTACTTATTGACATATACCTGTAAACACACAAATCATGCTGGGTACATACCTAGAAATGGAATTGTTGGATCATAATTTGTGCTATGTTCAAATTTAGTAGATGTTTTAAAGCAGTTTTAAAAGCAGTTTTCCAAAGTGTTTACACAAATTTACACTCCGATCAGCAATCCATCAGCGTTCCAGTCGTTCCAC